AATGGTTTCCATTGGCAATTGCAGCAGCACAATGCGAGGAAAACCATGGAGAAGAGTGAGGCTTGACCTGGAATCGTCGAGAGGGAATAAAGGATTCCATGCCAGCCTGAATCCACGAAGTTATGTAAGAAGCACATTTGTCAACTGGGAGACGAAAGACTTCTACCCAAGGGCCATCACGAAGAAAATCACGGAAAGAGTCCCAGTCAGCTTTAAGGTAGTTGTAAGATGTACGATGATAGGGGGATTCTGATGGTAAAGAAGAATAAGATAATAGTTTTAGAGAGATCAAACCATGATCAGACGCACCAGGGTGAGTTTGAAGAAACTGAGCACTGACTAGGATCAGAAACAAGACATAAGTCGAGTAGAGAAAGTAAATGATTGGGGTTGTCTGGAAAGCGAGTTGGAAAGTTGACTATTTTAGTTAGGGATTGAGAAAGACAAAAGTTGTGGGCCCTTATGCCTGCAGAGTCACTGACACTAGAGCCAAGCCATTCAGTGTGATGAACATTAAAGTCACCGACAACAATAATATTGGCTGATGGATAAAGAATGAGGGCTTGGTCAATATAATCAGAAATACCATCAAGTAGAGTGCAGTCTTGAGATGAGGGAGAGCGATGTAAAACAAATAGAAAGGTGATAGAGTGAAGTGGTGCTAAATGAAAGCACATAAAAGAGTAGTCTGTGGATTCAAACCTAGTTTCCAAACAAATGGGTGAATTCTTACGAATGTAAATGCCCAGGCCAAGCATGTGACTATTGGAGTCTTTACAAACTAAAGGAAGATAACCATCAACACAAGATCACAAGATGAGACAGCTGAACTAAAATTAGTCTCACAAAGAGCAAGTATGTCTGGTGAACATTGCAAGAGATAAGACTCAACAGAAGAAAAGTTACTTCGAAGACCACGAATATAGGTGAATGATAGGTTTAGCGAACTTGCTGATGACTGTGGTTTTTTGTGTTTTATTGTTTTTGTTGCTTTATTCATTTTTAAATTTGTTAAAGAACTTGACTCAAAACATAGATAGTACTTAGTACACTGTTTTATAGCCCAAGCAATCGCCTCATTTCCACTAATAATCCCTTAGCCGTAACAAAGGGCTTCAATGTGGCCTTGGCAATGCACACCAAAAGTACAAACAGAGACACCATACATGCGCAACATGGCACTGTTAGTACTCTGATAATTTTTAGCTGTTGATGGAATCAGACTTTCTGAGAGCTACCACAGAGTTCAAGAAACCTGACTACCAGCCGGCCTCAAAACAATAAAACTGAGTTTTAGAGCTGTACCCTTATTTGGAGATAATAGAATGAGTTGCCTAGTCATAAAAACAGAGACTCAAGCAAAACCCATGAATCAAGTCAAGAAGATCCAGCGTTTAACATCCTAAACTGAAAACAATGTTTTAAAAATACATCTGCGCCAGCCTAATAGATGAAGAAGGGGTGCGAGGCTGGTCAACAGATAGAATCTGTTTACTCCTTAAGTCTTTGCCTAAGAGGCCTTCTACAAGACAGCAGCCGGATGCATATAACATCTGCCCAAGATGAGTATTATTATCGAGGCACCATATCTAGCCTTTAATCAACCAAGAGCCCCAAGGCAGGGGGTGTTTTATGTCGGAGTTTGCATCTCCTAGCCTTTGCCTAAAAAGGCATTTCCTACAAGGCAGCAGGACATGAAGCAGATTGTACTGGGTTACATGTTACCAGTAGCAAGATAAACCTGACCTGATATATATATATACATACATATATATATATATATATATATATATATATATATATATATATATATATATATATATATATATATATATATATATATATATATATATATATATATATATATATATATATATATATATATATATATCTATATATATATATATATTACATTTTTTCGTACCGAATGTTACAAAACATTTAAACTCGCCGATGTTCATATCGCAAAAGCCACTTCTGAAATTTAGCATTTCGCAAGTTGACATACGAAACAAAGCTATTTTGCAACATACGAAAGTAGCGGTTTCGGAAGTCGCACTTGCGAAACAAACATTTTTGCCATACGACGTTTTAAAGTCTATAAAGAAAATTTGTTTGCCAGACTGATATTAATTGTAAAAATTAACTTCTTTAAATTCTAAAATGTTTATAATGAATTTTTATTTTCAGTATAATAACAAATTAAATTTTTATGGTTTTATTTTTAGAAATATTGATAAAAAATAAAATTTCTTTCGAAACGAAAGTATTTCGGATCACAACACACGAAAGAATTCTTAACGGAAATAAACTTACAAAACGTGCCATAATAAATATATATAACGATGTTTTTTGAACTCATTACGTATATTAAAAATAAGAATGATGGGTAGGAATATACATATATATTTTTTTAAAGCATATGAAATTTTTGAAGCAAGTTCGAATATGCTTAAGCAAATAGTAAAAAATGGCTCAAAAGTATGCTTTAGCTTAAGCA